CGTGGAGAGATTTCCAAAGATTAAAAGATAGAAAAGCGAAATGTCAAAGTTTCCAGAGAATTGTTCCGATATTGCCGATATTCACTATATCGATATTATTTTAGTAGATATATCGGTATCGAATATCGTCAATTTGGAATATCGCGATACCGATATATCAAATTTTCATTGCCGATACGCATCACTAATTTTAATCATTAATCGCGATTAACCATTTATTCGTTAATTTTTAATCATTCATAGACTAACATTTTGTCGACAATACTCGCTAGATAGCCCCAAATTTTCACAAAAGAGAAAAGTTATTTTCTTCAAAACTTTTAAATGTCCTCTTGAATGAACTTACTAATTCGGAATTTCTACTATTACTTATAGAGTAGGCTATTCATAAAGTCTGGGTAATGAAATACAAATTTTTCTATTATATTTTCCATATATATTAGGAGACTTTTATTGTTTAATTTATTTTTTGCACATAAACTTGTATCTTGAACTTCTTTTTCCAAAAAGTGAGGATGTCAAAATTTTAATAGATATCGGATGTACGGCAATTTTCTGAAAAGCTCTCTTAATCTCTCATGAAAATTATTCCAAACGAAAACTTAAAATTGATAAAAAAAATCTTAACTAGATTTAACTAATTTATATTAGAAGTTTTAAGTTTATCCCTCTGTAAGTGTGTAATCAGTTGCTATGTGTTTCCATGATACAAAAAACCACCTGAAAATTAAGCATATTAAATCCTTCTAAAATGCTTCAAATTTTATTATTAATTTTTCGTTTGTTTAAAAACATTTTATTCTTAGGATCGAAATTTTACCAAGCAAAATGTCTTTTGTTTTTAAATATGTAAATGAGGCTAATGCTCAATAAGTTGATAATTGTTGTTCTCATTTGCATACTTCACACCAACTCCGATATTGAACAGTGAAATATATTTTAATTTTACCCAAATAAACAATGAGATAGTTTAATGGTCAACCACATATAGGGGATTCAAAAGGGGTGTTAAGTGTCGTTAAAGTCTTAAGATTTTTAAACGTAAAATAACACCTAAAACTCCTTTAGGCGTTTTTTAACATAACCAAAATGTTTTTAAACTAGTAGGAAATATATTATTGTCTCTTATTATACCCAACGAATCTTTCAAATCGCTTTTAACCGTTACTTTATATTGAACAAATTTCGGCCTTTAAGACATTACGACGTCTAACACGAATTGTGAATCCCCTAAATATGCATTAAATTAATCAAAATTTGTAATTTCAGTATTCGAATTATATCAGAAACAATCGCACCCGATATAGAAAACAGTAATAGTCCTGGCTAGTTACATTGTGAAATAATTAGATGGCATAAAGACACTAAATATTTTTGAAATATGTTCACTAAAATTTTATTAACCCAAACGTAAATTTTTAGAAAAGTGTTTATCGAATTTAATGTAAAATTTAAACATTTTTAATATAAGATATTACCTATTTTTAAAAGGTAAATGTTAATACAACTGTTTTATATATAATCCCAAATTTATGATATAATATCCCCTCTAAACTAAAAAACTTAAATTGGGTAACACCGTTTCGAATTTTTACAATTGAGAAATTGTCTAAAATCTGCCTTTTTATCAAAAAGTTGTTTACCAGGGTGTGTTTGAACTAATGATTGGTACTGAATTAAAGAATGCATACACATAAAAGATTGCAGCCTTTTCAATACTCATTCAGTGTTAAACATTTTTTGATTTGGCATTGGTTTTTTCAATCTTGCTATGAATATGTTGATGTGTGAATTCATAACTGCTTTGAGTGAATGGAAAATTTAAAAATTATAAACCTCAATCTTAAGCGAGGAATAAGTAATGAAAACTGAATAGAAAAAAATTGTTGATTTAAAATTGAAAATGATTTCACACTTACACAGCTCTGGTAGCCGGCCACTACCACTTAGTAACTTTGTAAGTTTTGAGATGCAGCGTGGTTCACATTTAGCTGTTATTGCTGCGTTATATCGTTCAGTTGATATTTGTACTTGAAAGTTGGTGTCCGAATTGCCGCGTCGCGGCCTTCCGTGTACCAAAAAAAAATTTGAATGTATGTAACTCGCAAAATTTTTTCAAAGATGCAGTATATTTTGCTTTGCTGCCTTTATGCTTAAGTGCACATTAAAGATACCTACCCTAAACTGCGCATCAGCGGTATTATTTTTAACATTTATAAGGAAACTGAACATACCTGCACATTAGCGTTACCTGCCTTAAAAAATGTGCGACTATCAGTGTTGCCAACTTTTAATTTTCAGAAAGCACCAAAAACTCGGAAAAAAAGGCGTTTTACCAAACTAAAAGCAGCAAATTTTTTTTAATCAAAGGATGCTTTTTCATAACAGTTTGTATTTGACAAAAGTAAAAAATTAACAATATTTACAAGAATACATACATAAATCAATACACAAAACGTTTTCGCTCATAACGATTGAATAGCCTCTATACATGCTTTGATGACTCATGCTTACGACGTATTACCGAAGTACTATTAAAACTACTATATCTCGAGAAAGAAATATCGAATCGCAACACACAAAAATAATTCCCTAAGTAGAAATGACCAAAAAATTTGATGTTTTCATTATATAACCTCAAATATCGCAAAAACCCGTGTTTTCTAAAAATTCTATTACTAGAGCAATTGTGCGGTCAGATTTGGATTCAGCACGAAGAAACGATGTGTTTTACTCAGGTGGTAAAAAAATCAAAATTTGTACAAACATTAGAAAAGAAGAAAAGAAATACTTAACTTACCTACGTACTAGCATTTTCAACGCGACTAGAATTCAACAAGTTGGGTTTGCAACTTTAGCCTTTTGTGGTTGTATTTTAGTGCATGTAAATTTGTATATTCTTGTAAATTCCGCATCTTCATGAGACACGACAGCTTATAATATTTCAAATTATTTCAGGTTTTAACTATATCGGAGTAATATTAGTAAAAAAAAAGCACTAAAAAAGGCACTAGGCACTAAGTAATTTGTTTTGGCGTTATAATTTTCAAAAAGCACTAAATCTAGTGCTTTAAGCACCAAGTTGGCAACTATGGCGACTATTATCAATTATCAAAGAAAGTATTATGTTTACCTGTACTGGCCCTACAGTTACCTAATTTTACAAGTTTTTATTTACTTTGTTCATCTCACAGAACAACGAAAATGGCTATCAATTTATGTAGTTACATACATATATAGATAATGTGATACCATTTGGTAAAAATTTCGCTTGCAGTAACTTCTACGTGGTAAGTGCTCCTCCATTATTTGGTTTCATAGGGATTCGGATACCTTCCTAATTGAAGTAGTAAAGAAAATTCGCTTAAGTGCTTTTTTCGGTTAAGTGCACAGGTTTTTCGTGCAAAGAAGGATGGGCAGCTAAGCAAAATATACTGTAGTTGGAAAAGTGAGTTTGTGATAAGGGTCTAAATCTTAATTGTTATTTTGTTATGTGTAATTTTAAAATTATACTTTGCGTAAACGTTATTGTAACTATTACGGCATGCATTTTCTTAGGTGTTATAGAAAAGGCATGTTTCAAACTTATATAGAAGCGGAACAGCCATGCAACAGCAATTGAAACCAGGAATAATAAAACAAAAATTGTTTATATTAATTGTAAAAAAATGTTTGCCGAAAACATTGCAAGCATATTTCACAATGTGTAGAATGTACCAACACCACTGTTTATGATGACGGATAAAAACTTCAAAAATTAATGCTTATAATATGTTTCCGTATAAGCACAAATTATTCAAATGATTTATTTAAATGGTTTTCGACATAAATAAAAAAAAAATGCAGTCAATATTTGAGATGCACCTTGTGGCTAAATTTCCGCGGCGCGGCCTCTCGTCTTCAGCATACATTTGTTATGTTTCAACTAACCCGCGTTGAAACTGCAAATTTCGCTTTGACTACCAACAGAAATAGCACCTTATAAAACTGCTCCTGGCCGAAGTCTGTGATGTGCAATGGGTTGCTCCTGCTACGGTTGCAACTGCGGTTCCGGCTGGTGATGGTTGCTTGATTGCGTAGGCGTTCATTTTGCCAAAGTCGTAAAAAATTAGTGGCTAACCAACGCTCGCTATTTTTCTCCTCACAGCAATTTTATCTCAAGGACTACGACCTATGTAGCCAAAACGAAGAAATACTTTCACAACACGTCACTCGCGCAAATACTTGTGATTTTTAAAATTGTCTGGCCACACTACGCCAACATTAACATTCTAGTTGTAAGCAACTCTGTAAACGTACATTTTCATACTGTTCTCTAACCTGAGCTTTCTTAATGTTATGTAAAATGAGCTATTGTAACATTTTGCCTTATCACATTTTCTTTTCCCAAATAAAGTTAGTCGTCAAGAAGCAATCAGGAGTTGAAGTCTTTTAACTAGCGTCGTTCGTGTATAGTTTCACACACCCCGCACTACATATATATAAGAACTGGTCGTAATAAATCAGGAAAAAGCTTCTTATAAAACATTTGGCGCCCAACGTGGGGCACTGTGTGAAAGGATTTGTTAAAATTGCATACATATGGCAATAACGAAATATCATTCTAAGTTTTTCGCTTAGGCATCGGACAATAGAGCCCCGCGGAAACATACAAATACAACCGTATAACATAAATCTTCACTTCTGTGTTTCTGCATTTTCTGCATCTCGTCATCCGTCGTCATTGGAAATTCTCCGCTACAGCTATTGAAATTTCTATTGCGCTGAGATCGTTCGGCTCATGTGCTGTTTTGTTGGAGCAGTTGAGCAGTTAGTCGACACCGCTGTAGTTGTACATATTTCGATTTGGACATTTTTTTAGTTTCGGTACCTGATATAACGGATAGCCTCGTAGCTATTCCTAATTCATTGTACAGTTCATAATTCGCTTATTCCCAACACCTACAGTCACGAGTGCAGCAGTACCATAGCTGATCATATTTCGTCGTCGTCAACCAGACATGTCATCGCTAGCGGAGAACAAACGTAAGCGCGCTAATATTAAGCGCAACATTTCGAGAATCAAAGGAGTAGTCGAAATTCCTGCCGACGGAACTGGCACCAGGTTGCCAATTGCAGAGCTTCAATGTCGACTTGGAATTCTGGAGGCATATTTTAAACAAGCGCTGTCCGTTCAGTCCGACATTGAGAATGAAGATCCAGACGACGAAGGCCGAGCTAACTTAGAAGACAGCTATGTGAAGATAAAGCTGTGTACTAAGAATCAATTGGGAGAACATTTTCATAACACAGTGGTTGATGCTCAACCCTCCCCCACTGCATTCGCATCGTCCCGGCTTCCAAGACTGTCGTTGTCTATTTTCGATGGAAATCGCGCGGATTACAAAAACTATATCACATCTTTCAACCAGATTATAGCACGTCAACATAATATCTCAAACATCGAAAAGTTCAATCACTTGTTGAACTGTTTGAAGGGACCTGCGTTAGAGACAGTGCAGGCCTTCCAAGTTACAAGTGAAAATTATCAAAAGGCTATAGATCGTCTTAACGCACGGTTTGATAATCCCACGTTGACCATTCTTGAAACGATTGCTGCACTTTTCAAACTCCAGCCTGTTAATAAACCAGATGGTCATCAATTACGTAGCCTACTCGACAAGGCAACCGCAATGTACAGCTCACTGTCATCGCAAGGCTCCGGATCAACTATCGCACAGGCTATGTTGATTTATATTGTTATGGAGAAGTGTGATCAACAAACACGCAATAAATGGAACGAAGCACTGAATTTGAATTCATTGCCCACCTGGGAACAATGCTCGCAAGTACTCGAACGGCACTGCCAGTTCCTGCAATCTAGTGTAACTACGATGCACTTGAAGTCGGAACCTGCAAGGTTACTATCTAACGCCAACCAAGGTCAACGCTTACAATCAACGTTTGCCATTTCTAAGGCGCACTGCGCTTTATGTTCAAATTCGGAACATAAACTTGCAGAGCGCTCACAATTTAAAGGTATGAGTACCAACAACAGATTTGATTTCATTAAAAAATGTGGACTTTGTACTAATTGTTTGGGTACTGGTCATCGAATGTCACAGTGCCCTTCGAAGCATCGATGTCGTAGTTGCAGCCGTTCGCACCATACATTGCTTCACAATGAGAGACCACCGCCGTCCCAACAGCCATCCATATCGAATTCGTCGACAACGTCGTCATCATCGCAACCTGTCGCTGCCATCACGCATTCTCATAGCAATCTGTCGCAAACCAGCAATGCCATTTTAGCAACCGCCATGATTCTCGTGAAAGATTCTTCGGGCAAGTACAAGGTAGGCAGAGCATTGCTGGATTCGTGTTCGCAGGTTAATTTCATATCAGAAGAGTTTGCCCAGAAGCTTCGCCTTCGTCGAGACAAGCAACACGTTGAAATTCGCAGTATTGGCAACTCACGCACCAACATCAACTTCTGCGCCACTACTGCTATCAAATCCCGATTAACTACGTTTGAACTCTCGTTGCAATTTTGTATTACGCCACACATTGCGTATCAACCCGATTGTGAAATTGACACTTCGCAGTGGAATTTACCAGCTAATACTCCACTAGCTGACGAATCGTTCAACAAATCACGTGGTGTTGACCTTTTACTTGGTACGGAAACATTTTTCGATCTGCAATCTGTTGGGCAAATAAAGTTAGGGGCAAACCTTCCCACTCTTCAAAAAACATTGCTCGGATAGGTGGTGTCCGGCAGATACCAGAACCATCAAACCGCTCCACGTAATGCATGTATGTTGTCATACAACGTGTCCATCGACACAAACCTGCAAAGCTTGTCGACCATCGACGCTGTTGATACGCCAAGCGATCCTCTTCAGCCTGAGCAGCGATTGTGCGAGGAGGACTACTCAAAAACAACATATCAGCTCCCCAATGGTCGTCTTGTAGTCAGCTTACCATTTAACCAAGCAGCTATTGCCTCGGTAACTCCATAGATATTGCTCGTCGTCGATTCCTTGGGTTGGAACGTAGACTTCTACAGTCGCCTGAGTTACGTTCACAGTATATTGCATTCATGCAGGAGTATGAAGATCTTGGCCATATGAGACGAGTGACAGAACCAAAGGTTAATAGTCCTCACTATTATATTCCCCATCATTGTGTTTTAAAGCCACTAGCGTGTCAACAAAACTGAGGGTTGTGTTCGATGCTTCATGTCGCACATCATCGCAATCCTCTTTAAATGATCTGCTCTTAGTTGGCCCATCGCTTCAAGATGACTTGTTCATACAGCTGCTTCGATTTCGCCAATTTCGCTTTGCATTGACCGCGGACGTAACTAAAATGTATCGGCAGGTGCTGATACGGCCTAGTGAACGAAGATATCAATATATTCTCTGGAGAACATCACCCGATGACGAATTGCAAACATATGAGTTAAATACAGTCACTTTCGGCAACAGCGTCGGCTCCATACTGGGCAGTTCGTAGTCTGCATTATTTGGCTGATTTATGTAAGGAAGAGCTGCCGCTGGGGCTTCAATAGTCAAATCGTCATTTTATGTGGACGATTTATTGTGTGGAGCTAATTACGTTGATTCGTTTCGTGCAATTAAAGCAGAAGTCACAGAAATACTTCGTCGCAGAATGTTTCCCCTAGCAAAGTGGAGTTCTCACCACCCCGATATTGTTGAAGTTCAAAGCTGTAAGGAATTTGATATTCATGAAAATGCAGTATCTAGTGCACTAGGTACAACTTGGAACCAAGAATGCGATATATTTCTTTTTACATTCACTCCTAAAGTAAACAGTAACAAGGTAACAAAGAGAAGTATTCTGTCTATTGCATCGTAATGATTTGATCCGCTTGGCCTGCTTTCGCCGCTAATCATCGTTGCAAAGATTATTCTCCAAGAGCTTTGGCTCCTAAAGATCGACTGGGATGAGTCCCTCCCACAAGCGCTTCAGCAAGCATGGTTAAACTGCTCGATATCGCACACTTCTCTTTCCTCACTGACCGTACCCCGCTACTGCCCGCAAGCTGAATACAGAGAAATACAGTTACATGGTTTCTGTGATGCTTCTCTTCGCGCATATGGTTGCTGCTTTTATGTGCGTACTAAAACCAGAAGAGGTGACGTTAACATTCAGCTGCTCACCGCGAAGTCTCGTGTCGCTCCAGTGAAGAAACAGTCTCTGACAAAACTTGAGCTTTGTGGTGCTCATTTACTAAGCAAGCTCTATACGAAAATTAAGCACCTGTTCAACGATAAACAGTTAAAACTATTATTTTGGTCAGACTCGCAAATTGTGTTGCATTGGCTTCAGCAGCACTATGCAACGCTATCAACCTTTGTCTGACCATTCAAGAATTAACTATCGGTGGCCAATGGAATCATGTTCCAACAAAGAGCAATCCTGCTGATATCGTTTCACTGGGCTGTACAACGACAGAGCTTCAGTCGTCAATATGGTTCTCTGGTCAAACTTTCTTACATGAGAACGCGAACAAATGGCCGCTGCAAAAATAGAACGAACTCGATATGGCAGTCGTAAATAGTGAGAGACGCAAAACTGCATTCGCTGTTGCGGCGGAAATCAACACGCTTATAACAGCAATCAACAAATTTAGTTCGTACAATCGCTGCCTCCGTGTCGTTGCACATATGTTTCGATTTTCGAAAGCATGCAGAAAGCTACGAAAATTCGATTCTCATTCGCTGTCTCCAGAAGAACTGTCGCATGTAATGTACTGCATCGTATGGAATTTACAGCAACAACATTTCCAAGAAGATTTTCGTCTGCTGCAAAAGTATAAACTAATAAAGGGTAATTTAAAATATTTGAGTCCATTTTTAGATGATTCGTCGGGATTTGCACTCATCAAGGTTGGCGGAAGACTGGAAAATGCTAACATTGCCTCCTGTCAGAAACACCCTCTACTACTACCACGAGACTCAGAATTCGTAAACAATTATTTCCGCCACCTCCATGTACGGAATTACCATGCCGGTCCGAGAGCTTTGGTAGCGTTACTGAGGTTACAGTTTTGGGTCGTTAATGTAGCACGCCATATTGTTCGATCTTGTGTGCACTCTGTTCGGTACCGTCCAACTCTACAGCGTCAGCAGTGTGCTTAACCGCCGACAAGCCGTTCAGAAATGTTGGTATTGATTTCTGTGGTCCCATTGACACATACCTTCGCCTACGTGGCAAGGGTCCTACAAAATTATACATAGCCATATTTGTTTGCATGGTGTTCAAAGCAGTTCACATTGAAGTCGTGTCAGATTTGTCCACTGATAAGTTTTTGGAGGCTCTGAAACGTATGGTTGCCCGGCGAGGGCGAGTCTCAAATATCTATTGTGATAACGCCACTAACTTTGTTGGAGCATGCAATAAACTACGCGAATTAAAAAAGTTTACGTTTAGTGACGACACACAAGCTGCCATTCAAGCGTATTGTTCACCAGAGGAAATACACTACCATTTCATACCGCCTAGAGCACCACATTTCGGTGCGCTATGGGAAGCGGCGGTGAAGAGTGCCAAAGGTCTATTGGGGCGCTCCTTGAGAAACACCAGATTTACATTCGAAGAACTTAATACTGTGTAACAGCAGCTTTTACCAGAAACGAGTGCGTTAGTGTGCATGTATTAGTAAAGGAAGTGAAAGTAGCCATAAACCTTTTAGCTACAGCGACCAAACTGAGGTGCGAAACTTGGCTAACCCTGCGGTTCTAACTATAAAGCAGTGGCGTGTGTGTGTGTGTGTGGTTGCATAGTCCGAGTTTGAGCGGATGATCATCGTGGACTTGTGAGTGGGTGCAACATGAGTGACATCTTCGGTTAGCTTAGATACAATAAATTAGAGCGGAGGAACACCGAAGATTTTATTCGTAAAGTTACGGTGCCTTAGTGGAGTGTCGCGTGAAAATTTACAAGCGTAGTTTATGTGTGAATATACTGGTGTATATATTTGTATAATACATTTTTTTTGGTCAAGTGAAAAAAACGGAATTGTGCTAAATACCCCCATCTATACGGGACCCCAAGTATATCCGTTGGCGTTCGCAAATATTGGAGACAAAGGTAAGTATATTTAATAACTAAGAATGATATACAAGAAAAATAATAGGTTCCTCCAATGTTGTATATACATATAACGTACGCACTAGGGCTTAATATTCTACCCCATGAAGAAATATTTCGCCGTTTCTGTAAATTTTTTTTAAGAAATTGAGACATGTGCTAACCAATCGCCTACCTCAGATTAAAGTGTTAAATAAAACGCGGATAATTTTTATGAGAAAAATAACAAAATTGATTCGAACTCGCGTTGAGAAAGAAAGAGGCAAGGCAGACGTCTGCCTTATTATTATGGTGTATTCGGAAGCCCAGAAAATTAATTATTATTGAATTTATTAAAACCTCTGCGAAAGTTTGGTGCGAGTAACGTTAAAGGTGCGCAAGTGCATTTGCTTAGCTACATACGTGCGTACAAAGATACACACATAGAGGCATAGGCATATCCGCACCTGCACATATGTATGTAGATACCCAACTGTGCAATAGAGGAAATTTTGGTTCCGAATCGTTTCTAATGATTTTCGATATTTTTTTTAGGTCCCCAGCACCTTACTCATAAAGGACCTTCACAAGAGTAAGCTTGCGGAGTTTATAGGCGACGCCATAAAAGCAATTAAACCGCCATAGGACACACAACTAAGCACCAAAAAACTTATAACGGCCATAGAAGGACGGTGTGACCCCCTTAGCATTTACCATTGGGGAAAAAGTTGCACGAAGTAACACCGCAAGGGGCGCACTTGCAACATTCGTCGCGAGGAAGTAAGGAGAAGGAAACACTAACACATTCACTCATACACATACGACTCGACTACATGCTATCGGTGAGAAACAGGTGCTGGGGAAACAACAACCACAGCATTACGACCAGCTGTGCTGAATACATAGCGAAAGAGCGGGTCAACGCCCGCTGTACAATTTAATATACATATTTACTCGCCCGTACATAAGAAGTAAAGTAAGCTGACAATAGAGAGGAGTGGACCGATACTTACCAGCGTGGGAGTCTGCAGAGTTCCAGCGGGCTGAATCTGAAGGAGCGGAGTAGCATACATACATACGCGCATGTCATAGTGCCATCAGCTGCAGCGCGATCGCCCGAGCAACGTTGAGCGACCTGCCAGCGCAGCTAGTTTTTCTTATTTCCCAGCAAAAAACACGATTACCACAGAAACGAAAGTGGAAACGAGCTAGGCGATGGGAATCGTTTACCCTTTCGCTTCAAGAAGGCTTTATTTTAACATGGGCATGTCATTGGAGGTAAGCCCTTACACGCAGCATTACCTTCAAACGAAGGGAGAACGCATGGATAAACGGAATCCAGAGAAGCGAACAAAGAATGCCTTACAGAGAAACTAATGTAGAATGCCTAGATAAGTATTTACATACTTATTTATATTAAATTGAAATCAGAAAATGTCTTAAAAGGTTAAAATTAATTAAAATTTTATAAATCAGATTTTATATATACATATGTATGTATTTAGGTATTTAGATTTTCTTAAAAATCGGTATGTACATACATGCATATTTAATAAAGCTTAAAATTGTACTTCCTCACTCTTGTACTTCCTCACTCTTGTACTTCTTTTCATTGACTGACTTCAACTTCGCTGCAAATTGAACAAAGCTAAACATGACTTTTATGCGA